GTGATGGGACGCAGACGTTCTAGGTCGCCCCCGCGGAGGGGTGAGCCTCGCGGGCAGCCCTATAAAAATTGGAGGTGGGGGGCGGTTCCTCTGGGGACCCCTCTAGAGTCGCCTTTTTGCAGGCCTTTGGCTTCTCGGGCTTCTTCCCTCCGCTGAGCGGGAGGACGCCCTTGAGACCATCTAGTCCACCCCCTGCTTAAGGCAGGATCCGCATTCAGGCACCCCAGAGGGATGCTTGAACCCATCTAGAGATGGGGAACCCACCACCCCTGAGGGAATTGGATGTAGCGTCGGAGAGCATTTGGCGGGAACGCGCCTTCCTGTCGCTGATTATGTGCCCTGCCGTTTGGCGGTCAGACCCCTCCTTCGAATGCTTCCGCATCCCTCCTCAGTTCTTCTCAAGGCCGCTCTGGGCTGGAGAAAACGAAATGCTTCTTTGCCCCCGAGAGGCTTCTGATTGTAGGACGGGGGGTGGGGGGTAGAATACACGGCCCTTTGTTTTCGTCTGGCGCAGCAGAGCCGTTCTATTGTCCCTCACCCTTGATTTAAGGTTTAAATCAACATAAATTTGATTGAAATCTCTTGAAGATAGGCATGTTCCTGCAATTTTCATGTGAAAGTTACTAAGTCCTATGTAATACTAAAATCAAGTTGTGTTAGCTTTACTATCAAAGGCTGCCTTGCTTTCTTCTCTAAGCTGATCCAGGGTTATGACCAATATTTTTTTTCCAGCATCATGAAGGTCTGTTGCCATCAATTTTTAAGGGAAAGTTGCAGGATATAGAGTGGTTTAAATGACACATCACGATTGATAGGAAAATATCTTTTGTGTTCTTCCCTCCAAGATGTCTTGGTTCCATATTCAAAGCAAGACAAATTGGAATTCACTCTGTATGCTACTGTAAGTTTCACAGAAGAAGAGTAGAATAAAAGCATAGAACTCAGTTTTTAAAAAAAATTGTTTAGCTTTGGAGCAGCCTGTAAAGCACAGGTGCACAATCAGGGACCTTTTGCTAAGCTTTAGGAACAGACCCATTTTCTTAACTGTCTGCGGAGTTGTTATTCTGAAAGTGGCCTTGGATGTGCCATTTAAAAGTCAAATGGGGCCTTTGGCTTGAAAGTGTTGCATATCCCTGCTGTTAAGAGTTTGTTATATTTTATAATTTTTGTAATGGTTTAAGAGCATAATCTAGGAAAGATTATGGAAGAAATGTATTTGTAGGACCAAATTTGCTTAAGTTTTGATGGTATTTTGGGTGTGATGTGTTTAGGAGAAACATCCCTCTTCCCTGATCCAGGTGACTTATTGCATCTGTTGTTTTGCTCTGTAAAAAAGAACGTCGGCGTTCCAGATCCACCTCACGTGAAAGAGAGAGGAGGCGACGGGAGCGATCAAGATCGCGGGAGAGAGACAGGAGGAGAAGCCGTTCTCGTTCTCCACATAGACGACGATCCAGGTGAGGAAGTGACATCGGGTAGTAGCCAACTACGTCTTTGGCTAACGTATTCCATAAATACTAGGCAGCTTAAATAAGGAGAATAGCCCTGCCCATTACCAGTGTTGTGGGAAATGATAACTGAGCACAATTATTTACTTCACCTAATGTAAATTTTGAAAAAGAACATCAAAATAAATGCTTCTAAATAAATCCTTTATCTGTCTAAAGAAACTTTAGGGATTGCACAGCCCCATTCAGGTTATTCTACCAATTATTTTTAAAAAGAGAAAAGGAGGGAAAGAGCGGGGAAGTGGCATCACATCTTGGCCATTAAGCTTTTCTGTCCCTTCTTTTTTGTTTTTGACTGCTCTCCCTTCCATCACCAGCAAGAGTCTGCTTTGTGTTGTTTGAAGAAGATAGTGGAGAAATATTCAAATTAAGGCCTGAGCACCATTTTAGAGAAATATGGTTCTGGAGTAGCCAGAGATTCCAAGAAGAAAGCTGTATCCTTGGATGTGATTTGTAGCCAGACGCAAAAGCCTTTTCTGTGTGCAAAATATACATACAAGGTGATCACATCTGGCTTTAGACACAGTGTCCTGTTACCAGCCCCCAACAGTCCTCCTTATTCTCCCCTATCTATTGTATGATTACTGTTTTTCTAATATCTGTTCACTTATTAAATTGTAATTTAATTGGAAATTTTTGCTTGGTATCATGGCTACCAATTTACTGTACTGTTGATTATAAGGGTTTTGGTGAATCCTGATAGTATAGCTAACTGATATTTATCATTGCCCACAAATAGGTCTGACAACTAAAAGGGATAGGATAATTTATAACAAGATGATTATTTTAATATTAATTACAACATACAGAGTTTAGTTCTACAAGGATGCTATATTTTTGCTAGTTATTTTTCCATATCATTTTATACATAGAAATGCATATCATGCTATTTTATATTGTACTATGTTGTCTTATAGTTTACATAGTATTAATATAAATTACGTATGAAATAATCTATAGAGCTTAGTGATACAATTGTACAACTTTGGGTTAGTAATTCTAATTTTTATGTATTTTACCTTAGCTTTCAGGCTAGACTGTCCATACTGGAATGACTGTAAATTTTTATAGTTC